TTAGTAAGCTGTTAACCTATTTTGATCTGGAAATGATCTTCAAAACCTGGTCTTCCTGTTGGTTCATTTGACTGGTGGTGACTTAATGAGGAAAAAATTCCCTTCTTATACACTGCTGCTGCCAATACCTGCTGATTTAACAGACGTTCAGTTAGAATTTGTCTAAAATATATAATAAGATGGAAATATTCAAGTATTTATCATTCATGTCTTCTTTTTCTTTCTTAGGTGCTAAATTTTATGCTTCCTCGTCTAAGCAAGAAAAAAGTAGATGCCATCATCTCTGAGGCACAAGATGCAGAGTATAAGCTTGAGTTTATTCCAACTACTACCATAGAATATGTTAATAGCTTAGTATTTCTTGATGAAATTCAGGAACGGGTGAGTTAATTATCTCATATAGCTCAATATTCCAAATCTTATTATGGTAGGCACAAGAAAAAGTGAGGGACTAAAGGTCAAGAAACAGTTGTCAAAATATGAGAAACACTTTCAGACAAAGTAAATGGATGTCCTACATTACAGCAATAATGCCAGCTAGCATTTACCAAACTCTTACTATTAGTCAGGCATTGTATTAAATTTCTTACATGTGTTACATTTTTAATCCTCACAAAAACTTGGCAAGTGTGCATAATTTCTATCTGCAGATGAGGAAACAGGGACTAAAATAGCTATGTTGTCCAAGATCACAGAGTTTGTATGGGGTAGAGCTGGAATTTAAATTTGGGTCTCTTTGGCTGCAAAGCCAATGTTCTCAGCCACAGTTTATTGCAATTCTAGTTTTTAGTAAATGGTAATAGAATTGTAATCTAGATATTACTGATAATGGAAGCCTTAATCCTTAACCTGTAGCTGCATAATAGTCAGAAACCTTACTGTTAAGAATGAAATAAACCCAATTCACACTAGCCTGAGTAGGAAGGTTGGGGTGGGGAGAAAGAAAGTAGACATGGGGACTCAAGTGATGCAAATGAAGGGGTCAGGTCAGTCACACACACACACACACACACACACATACACACACACACATACGGACTCAAGTGATGCAAATGAAGGGGTCAGGTCAGTCACACACACACACACACACACACACACACACATACACACACACACATACACACACACACACACTCACACATGCACACACTCCTTTGTCTCCCTTGCTTCTTTCTCTCTGGAAACTTGGTTTCCTCCTCTCAAGCTCTTCCCTGTGGCAGGCAATCTAGCTTTTGGCTTCAGTAGTCAGTTTTTCATAAACTTTTCGTTTATATCAGCTTGGTATGTGAAATAAAGGTAAATTATTTTCTTAAAATCTGAAAATTGAAGAAATGTTACAAATAAAAAATTATAAACTGAATAAAATAAGTCATTAGCAACTGGATAGTTTGTTATATATTGTCAGCAGAATTAATAATAAAGGCATTTCACATGCCTACAAAATTATCAATTTTGTTTCCCATTTCAAGAAATAATGCCTTTTCAAAAGAGCAGATTATTGTGTTTTTCCTCGGGTTTGGTTATAATCCTCCCAGGAGTCTAAAGATGCCAAGCATTTATTATTATTTGTATTCATCAAGCCTCTTTGGACAAATAACCAAAACCCGTTTGATTATTGGGGGACCCCATTTAAGGATTCAAGGGAGTGTCATGGAATCCCACCTCCTCAAGAATTTAATTAGGCTTAGGAGCTGACCAGAGCCAGGATAGGACAGCTGTAGGAGACCCAGATAGTCCTCTTTCTCCATCTCTCCTCTCTGCATCTCTCTGAGGTTCTGCTTCGCATCTCTCCCTCTGCTGCTTCATCCCACAGCAAGCAGCCGCCCGCAGCTCCCTAGTTACAGGTTGTAAGTCTAGTCAGCCACTGGGAGAGAGAGAATCTCCCTTTTCTAATATCATTTCTAAATGTGTAGTAAATGGAATCAGCTCCTCTTTTCTGTTCTGTAAACTATGTCAGGAAGGTGGGATCACACTATACTCAATGTCTGCAGAAGATAGATTGCTATCACCTGTGGCTGCAGAACAGGAAGCTGATGCACAATGCAGAAAACCCAGACTGTGTCCCATCTCCACAAGGTTGTCCATGCTTGCTGGGCGGCATTTTGGGGAAGCAGGTTCCTCAGGGAGATGCTGTGCACACACAAACAGCTTTTTGTGGAATCTTATCCATTCGGTCAGCAAATAATGAGCACCTGCTTAGCAGGGTGCAGGGTTTACAACAGTGAGTAAACCTGCTAGCAAGGAGCTCAGAGTCTAGAATGAAAGCAGACAATTATGATACAATAAGTATATGTATAAGATACTGTTGTTTGACTAGGAGGTTTGAAGTCATTCTTGCCTATGGGTCACAGAAGGCTTTGTGGAAGATGGGATATTTAAAGTATGTCCTAAAGTACATCAAATATTCAGGCAGGCATGCCGGGGAGAGGAAAAACCATGTGCAAAGACATGAGGCAACTTGACAAAAGCAGGATTTGGTGATCGATATGTTATAGAGAAAGGGTATTTGGTTAAGAAAGCTGATATACTGTATGTAGCTAAAGCAGTATTTTCAAGGATAGGAGAGAAGGAATGAATTCTAGAGATGTTAAGTGAATTGAAAGAACATAAGGAGTAGTTGAATGAGGGGGCAGCAAGAGGAGTATGAGATGATTCCCAGGTATCACAGGTAGATATTATGCCCAGACAAGAAGTGTAAAAAAGACACTCCCAGAGAAACCTGGATTTACATTCATCCAAAGTACAGGAAATACAGAAAGATGAACAGATCTTGGTGCAGAGACACTTAGTTCTATTTATAACTTGTTTGAGATGTTAGACACTTTGATTAAAAGCAACAAAATTCCACATAGATAGCTTAGAAAAATGGAAGATTTATTCTAAGTTTGCAGGGTTATTTTCTGGAATCCAAAGGTATGGATAGAGCTGGGCCTATAAAAAGGTCAGGAACTAGGTACTGGAGTAGTGTAGGGAAACCAAAAAGGCCTTTCTCTCCTTCTCTCACCTCCACTCCTCTCTAGAACAGTGGTTCTCAAAGGGTGGTCCTCAAACCAGCAGCATCAGCATCTCCTAAGAACTTGTTAGAAATGCACATTCTTGGGCCCCAACCTAGACCTTCTGAATCAGGAACTTTGGGGAGGAGCTCAAAAATCTGTTTTAACAAGCTTTCCGAGGTCATTTGATGCAAGCTAAAGGTTGAGAACTATTTCCCTAAAAGCCTCTCTGCAGTTATCTTCTCATTTAAGTACCTCTTTTTGGTTTCTACATGAAAGCAAATGGCCTCTGCCAGCAACTACAATCTAACTCTTCCAGTATTCAAGAGAAAGATGGGACTGAGCTAGGTTCTCTAGGTCCCAACTTGATGCTGCTTGGTTCAGCTCATGGCCAGGAGGTTAGATCAAGTAGTATAAACATTGCTGTTCCCTCTAGATCCATGTGGCAGAGTTGAGGATAAGGGATTTCCCCCAAACCGGGGTGTCCCTGGCCAGAAAGTTAGGAAAGACAAGAAATGCACTGTCCACTGAAGGTAGGACATCAAAGTGAAGATGTTTAGTAGGCATTTGGATATAGTAAAATCATTTATTACAAGTTAGTGGGAGGTTCACTGTAGTTCTGGGTTCTGAACCTGTGCTTCCAGGAGCATGGCCTACCCACAACTCAGGGACTGCTTTGGGACAATCACTGCTCCACACAAGTGCCTGGAAGCTCAAAGATTGCAGCTGAACATTCTCACAGCACATGCTGTCTTGGAAAACTTTAAATATTGTCACCATTCAATGCTTCCAGAGAACAAAAAAGAGAGAGAGAAGAAGAAACTTTGAGGAGAGCACTGCTAATAGTAGTAAGCTCAGCTGATTGCCCACACTACAGCAATGACTGTCATCCAGCAGGCTTCAGCCAACTTGCTTGTAACTAACATTAAAGGCACCCCTCATGTACTAACTATTCATGTTTGGTGTTCATATTGCACAATGACTGTCTTCTATCAGAAAAAAACTAATGGGTATGATAGGATTCTGCTTTATTTAACTGGCAACCAATGTTTCTATTTAGATTGAAAACCTCGAAGATGAAGGGAATATAGTTGTACAAATGTACAAGCTTATTGAACAATATCAGGTGCCCACACCTCCTGAAGACTTTGCTGTTTTTGCAACTATGAAGCCATCCATTGTTGCTGTGCGCAATGCCATTGATAAATCAGTGGGTGACAGAGAAACAAGTATTAAGCAATTTTGTCTGAGTTTGGGTAGAGATCTTGAAGATCTAAATAATGAAGTGAATGAAGTAAAGATGAAAGCACAGGTAAGCTAAAGCAATAATTTTTTTAAATAATCTGTGCAAAGTTTGACTATTGCATTTTTCATTAAAGTATAATTGACAATTAAAATTGTATGCATATATGGTGTACAACATGATGTTTTGATATTTGTATACATTGTGAAATGGCAAATTAAGCTAATTAACATATCCATCACCTCACATACTTATTTTTTTGGTGAGAATATTTAAGATCTATGCTTAAACTGTTTAGGAAGCATTTTATTTTAAACTGATTTAACTTTTGTTTTTTATGGATTCATTCTGACTAATCAACTAATAGCCTTTGAATTGCTATTTAAAATTAAAGTGTTTCTGAGCCTGTAAGTACAGAATAAATTTCAGACCATCATAGGTGTATATGTAGTTTTGAATTCTATTTCTCCTAGCTTGTACTTATATTTTGAAATGTGTGTTTTTACAACTTGCTAGCATATTTTATAGCTATTTTAAAGTTTGTTTGGCATATTAGAAAACTTCCCTTTAGAAAGAAGCAGAGTATAAACTGGTAGATGGTACTGAAGAATATCTCGTTAACTTGCACAAATTTTACTATAGAAAACATAAAGGGTTTTTAAAAAAGAATTTAGAATATAGACATCTGGGTAACTGAAACATACCTGAAAATATGACTTTATAATGATTTCTTATTTCATTATTAACATTGGCTAAATCCTATTATAAAACCAAATCGGTACTGAAGAATATCTCGTTAACTTGCACAAATTTTACTATAGAAAACATAAAGGGTTTTTTAAAAAGAATTTAGAATATAGACATCTGGGTAACTGAAACATACCTGAAAATATGATTTTATAATGATTTCTTATTTCATTATTAACATTGGCTAAATCCTATTATAAAACCAAATCAAAAAAGAAAAATTGGGGGCCGGCCCGGTGGCGCACTGCTATAGTGCTCCGCTTGGGAAGCGCGGCGGCGCTCCCGCCGAGGGTTTGGATCCCACGTACAGACTGGTTTCCCCTCCCCCGCCGCGCGCGGCG